GGTCATTAGCGAGCGTGCCTTAATTAGCGCTGTTAGGGGATCGCGGGGTTCAGGGGGTTTGATCGGGGGTTCCCCCCGTTACCCCGCGCGGGTCATTAGCGAACGTGCCTTAATTATCGCAGTCCGGAGATCGCGGGGTGTGCGGGTTAAGGGGGTTTGATTGGGGGTCCCCCCCGTGGGTCATTAGCGAGCGTGCTTTAATTAGAACAATCCGGAGATCGCGGGGGTTGTGAGGGGTTTCGATTGGCGGGCGTCCCGTTTTCTCCTCAGCAGAGCCGCCCGCCCGTTACTCCACGCGGGTCATTAGCCATCGTTCCCTAATTAGCGCCGTTCGGGGGTCGTGGGGATTGTGAGGGGGTTCGACTAAGGGGCGCTCCGTTTCCCCCTCAGCGGAGCCGCCCCGGTTCCCCCTCAGCGGGGCCATCTCCGTTCCCCCTCAGTAGAGCAGCCCCGGCTCCCCCTCAGCGGGGCCATCCCAGTTTTCCCTCAGCAGAGCAGTCCCGGTTCCCCTTCAGCGGGGCCGCCCCGGTTCCCCTCAGCAGAGCAGTCCCGTTTTCTCTTCAGCAGAGCCGCCCGCCCGTTACTCCACGCGGGTCATTAGCGATCGTTCCCTAATTAGCACCGTTCGGAGATCGCGGTGGTTGTGAGGGGGTTTGATCGGGGGGCCGCCCCGGTTCCCCCTCAGCAGAGCCGCCCGCCCGTTACCCTGCGCGGGTCATTAGCCATCGTTCCCCAATTAGCGATCCCGTTCGGGGATCGTGGGGATTGTGAGGGGTTTTGACCGGCGGGCCGTCCCGGTTCCCCCTCAGCGGGGTCGCCCCGGTTCTCCCTCAGCGGGGCCATCCCGGTTCCCCCTCAGCAGAACCACCCGCCTGTTACCCCTTGCGAGTCATTAGCCAGCCCGCTCTAATTAGCCCGGCCGAGCCCTCACAGAGCCCGGCGATGGCTCCTGACCCGGCAGGTGCCAGAACCGCCCCTCGGGACCCCAAAWCCTCCTCAGCGGTGCCCGGAGCGGTTCACAGCAACCGGAGGAGTCGGGCCCCGCTGTTCCTGTGCCAAACCCCAACTCCCGCTTGYTCAAACCTTCCTCTCCCCTTAACACGCTAATAACTACATAACTGCAGCTTGTGGTTTCGTGATTACAGCCCGATGTGACAAGAAGCAACACCTTTGGCAGGTAGCTGGGGACAGGTGTGGAGCTCCCGGGGGATGTGGGAATGTCGGGGCCGCTCCTTCCCAGGCTGGCTCTGCCTTTCCCAGGTGCCACCTCCCCGGGGAAGCTCGGCCGCAGCCCAAAACCGCTGCTGGGGCTGTGTAGGAGGGGACAGCGCTGCTGTGGTTTGGGTTTGGCAGCCGTGAAGGAATTAGTGAGAGCGGCAGAGAGCGAAAGGGGGAAGGGCACCGAGCCCGTTGGCAGCGCCGCTGSTTCCCGAGGACTTTGGCGCTGGCTCTTGCCCCTCTCAGCTCTGTGYTCCTCTCCTAAATCCTTCAATCCACCATCTGTGCCTGCCGTTTGTTTCCTCATCTGCAAATGCCCCCTTGCCCCCAACAGCGTAGGGCACTGCGTTTGAGATTCTGCCAAAAAATCTCAACGCCCTCGCTCCCTCAGAGTTCCAAACGCCAAATAGCAGAGTGTTTGACTTGCTCTGGATTCCTGAGCACAAAGCCCAGGTCTGGGGCAGCGATTGTGGCTCTCCGAGGCAAAGTTCAGGCTGCATTTGAAAGGGCAGGGCGGGCTGGGGAAGCCCCGGGCTGGGATCAGAACAATGMTCGCTGTTTTGGCTCTGAATTTGTCTCCTCGCCCCAGCTCTCGCTGCTGCAGCAGAGCAGGACACGCTGCCCCAGCCCCGGGGAGCTGCTGCTGCCTGAGCGGTCCCGAGCTGTTCAATTTGTGCTGGAGCAGGAATTGGTCACCTGGAAGGACCTTGGAGTGGATGGGGATGACAGAGGGAATGGGGTGACACACAATGGGGTGACAC